GTGATATGAACCTACATAGTTTGTACGCATATATCATCCATGGTTTTGTATGCATAATAGCCGATCATCATTCATCATCCATTATAGATCGATGATTTATGTGGAAACGGGAGATGGACAGCAAAATAAAGAAGAAGATTTCTTTTGGATTTCAGGTTTTGAGAAGTGAAGTTAGAGATTTCATTTCCCCATGAAAGTATGTGAAATGAAAGTAAGGGATTAGATAAGCTGGATAGCTGGTAATCAAAGAAGGGGTCTGGCAGATGTTATTAGAAAGACAGAAACTATGTTAAGGTTTGCTTTTAATTGGGGAGGGTGGGGTTGAGAGAGAGCCAAATAAAAGGAGATGGAGGTAACTAGATGTTGCAAAGAAGAGACTGAAGAGAGAATTGTATGGCCAACCCAGGTACAAATCGAATCTCTTTCTTACCATTATGATGTTTAAAAGGAATGCTTTCCAAGATAAGGGTTGGAACTCTTGATTGGCCGTAGTGGCCAACATAGTTGTTGGACAACAATGGTGTGAGGCAAAAGTGAGGTGGTACTAAACTTTCTTTTTAACATTTTTGCCAGGGTTGTCATAATAAGTGACAGTGGGAAAGATCTGCACAAAGATCCATAACATCAGCACTCTGTTTATACATGGAGACTACATGACTGACAGGATTTGGATCAAGTAGAGTGCCACAATTGGAGGCAGAAGTGGTTTTGGGGATGAGTGGCTGCAACATGGATGAGAAGGATGCCGCTGGTAGCCCCTTATGACTTGATTAACTCAGCCAAGAATGTCAGGACAAAATTGTTTTTCCCAAATTTGATCATTTAGTTGAATGATGATATTTCTAACACTAGGTCTCTTTATAGTTTGTGGGGATTTATTTTTTGGTTCAAAACATAAACAGCAGCAGGAGGTAGAATATGATTTGTTTCACAGTAGAACATTAATATTTTTAACTAGACCTCTCTCTCTCTCTCTCTCTCTCTCTCTCTCTCTGCTAAATCTACTGGAATTGATTCTCTGTTTTATTTCATCATTTTTCTAAAAGCTTAAACTCTGAACTTTTCTGCATTTACTGCATATGTATGGCAAGGTAATTATGTTTTTCCTGTTACCATGTGCATTTCATGGCTCTTCCTTTTGTGTAAGAAAGCCATTGAAATTGCTCAAGGCCACTATAAATGTATACATGCTGTACATTGGTGTTAACTCATCTCCAGTTGTACCAATTTCCAGATCACTTTACCACAACAATTAATGTCTTGTATGTAATTCGTCTATGCTTGAGAACTGGGCATCTGAATTTTTTGTGCAGAATATATTTATTTCTGTTTCTCAATGCCTTAAGAACTACTATCCCATATGATTGACTAGAGTACTCCATCAATTATAGTTTCTTTACAGGTAGTATTTAAAGACATTTTTTTTAGCCACCGAAAATTGCATGAATTAGAGAAGTCCTTGGGAACATTGTTTTCTTTTCTTTTATATTTGGACAATTTTTTTCCTTGTTCATTTTTTAACTACCTCTGTCCATTGCTATTTTTATACATGTGAAACTTCCCATGTCGTCTGATTGTGAAGTATTGTCCACAGAGCTGCTTGACCATGGTTGGAGGAGATCTGGTTGCTTCCTTTACAAACCTGAGATGGAAGGAACATGTTGCCCATCTTATACCATTCGTCTGAAAGCCACTGATTTCTATCCTTCCAAAGAGCAAGCTCGTATATATAAAAAAATGCAAAGGTATCAGAGCTTGCCTCCTCTCATTTTGCAGATGATAATTTTGTTATGCTTTTGGCATGATATATTATGTATTGGAAAAGGTCTTGGCAAGTTACAGAAAAGTGCTATACTGTCAAATTCAGATTCAATTTAGATGCTTAGAGATAGCATGAACTGACTGTGCAGGTTCTTAGATGATACCACATCAGTGAAGAAATTTGAATCTTCAAAACAAAAGGAAAATTCTTGTAGGGGCTTACTCAAGCTTTCTGGCAATGACTCTATTACGAAAATGACTGCATTATCAACAAAAGAATCTTCAGCTAGTACATGTGAAAATATGTGCAATGAAAATGACATTCTTCATTCTTTGGCAAACATAATTAATAGTGCTGTAAGCACACTTTTTGTCAGTTATACTGCCCATCTTCCTAAGGCTGTTGTGAAGAAGGTGACATGCCAAGCCAAAAAAAAGCTGGTGGAAATATCAGAAGATTTAGTATATACTAGCAGCATAGCATTTCAAATAGCGGCAGCTATTAGGCGCTCTCAGTCTACAGATGAGACTATTAAATGTCGGGAATCTGAATTATTGGATTTGAATGCAACAACTATTGCTGAACAGCTGGCATGCTTAGTGAAGGAGCATGAATTGCCTTCTGAGCTTTTAATAAAAGCTTGCAATGGCCACCTAAATTTCTATTCTGCGACCAAAAAGAGGAGCTCAGAATTCATTGACCTTAAAGAAAGTATGCAGGCTTCAAGAGGTAACAGAGGTAATACAAAAAGGATTTGCTCCGCTGACAGTAATGCAATTCTCCCACAAAAGAGAAGAAAGCTTGAAATCCGTATGAACAGATCAAGTTTTGATCAAGAAGAATTTGCTTTATACAGAAGATACCAAATTAAGGTACATGATGATAAACCAGAAAAAGTCACAGTAGGTTCATACAAAAGATTTCTGGTGGATACTCCTATTGTATTTGTTCCACCAGTTAGTGGTGATAACACAATTCCACCTTGTGGTTTTGGCTCTTTCCATCAGCAGTATTTGATTGATGGGAAGCTTGTTGCAGTTGGTGTTGTGGATGTTCTTCCAAGATGTTTGTCTAGCAAGTATTTATTTTGGGACCCTGATTTTGCCTTTCTATCACTTGGAAAGTATTCAGCTTTGCAGGAAATAAATTGGGTAAAGGAGACTCAAAACCATTGTCCTAGTCTCCAGTATTACTATCTCGGCTATTACATTCACTCCTGCAACAAAATGAGATACAAAGCAGCATATCGTCCATCCGAACTACTTTGTCCTCTTCGTTACCAGTAAGTAGGTCTCCCTTCAGCTTTCAGATCAAATTATCAAAGATAATCCTGGATAAATATGTGCTGAATTTATTAATGTTGAATAATGTTTCTAATTCTGTGCACATAAAAATTGTGTCTACATGCTTATAATTTATTGAACTCAGTAGTCTCTCAACTCCATGTACTTTAAGAATCCACATTGTTTTTGTATATGTGCACTCACATCCATGCATATTACACTTAATGATGGTCTAGGTGCACATGTGCATGTATCATATACATATATATTCATTGTTATATTGAGTAGGTGAGATGCGCTCTTCATGTTTTTACTTAGGTTTCCGTGGGTTGTGAAACTTGTTTATAGATTCATGTTCTAATATTAGTAACCTTTCAAAATGATGGTTTTTGCAACATTTAGTTATCAAAATAAAAAAAGCTTGTAGAAGCATGAATATTCTAGCACCCATCACCTGAAGAGTTCTACAGCTACCACCAATAATCTGCATATCCGAAATGCAGTTGAGGGAAGTAAGAAACTTCTATATTTAGATCTTTTTAAAAAAATATGTATATATGGTTCATGCATGTGCGACACTTGGCTGTGATTACTTCCAGAAAACAGGTTTTCAGGTTTTATCTTTATTTTCATGTTTATTTTTCAATTCATTTCTTCGAAGAAATATGCAAAAGCATGTTTACTCTTGAAACAAAAAAAATTCTTGCTTTTTTCTGTTCATCAATCAATTTGTGTTAATGGTGGCACACCCCAGGGATGTTGGATGATCGTAGTCGAAGGTGTTGATGGTAGGGGCAGCGGAAGATAGAGCTTGATGTTAGTGGTGGTGGTGTACAATAATGATGGTGTAACAGTGGTAGTACTTGGGCGTTGTTGGTGATGGTAGTGGTGCTATGATGGTGTTCTAACTTCTAACAATGGTAGTGGTAGCGATGCTGTGATGATAGTAGTGATAGTGACAGCAGTGTCATGGTGATGATAGTGATTGAATGGTAATGGTAATGGCAACAACAATAAATGTGACACTATGACAACAGTAAGCCAGGAACAATGATGATGATAGATTGCAATAAGAGAAGCTTGGTGAAAAATTAAGCAATGAAAAATTTAGAGTTTCTTTTTTAATTTTCCAAGCATATTTGTTAAGTTTGAGAAAAAAGGTTCCATTATCAATTAGTAAAAAATTGAAAAAAATTCTGAAAAATTGGAAAATTTCTACAAAGAAGTATGCCCTAAATTGTTTGGACTTATGTTTAGAGAAATAAGGTGACTGGTGTACCAACTAAAATACGATCTTGTAAGTTTGCCCTATATCAAAGAGCTTCGATCAATGCAGAAACACTTCTTTTTTAACTTTAGCACAAGCATAGATGTGTAGTGCATCATATAACTGTTGTATTAGCTAAAGTCTCTGTGTAATGCTGCATTATATTCATTTCTAACGGTTGATTTTGCAGGTGGGTACCATTTGAAGTGGCAAGACCTTTGCTCGATAGAACTCCTTATGTTATCCTATCAGATTCTCTGGATGTAAAAGATTGTGCAATGTCACCAAAGCTCCCTAATCCTGTTGAAAACTTAGGCCCTGATTTTCATGATTCTTCTCCAATGGAAGATCTGTCTGATGAAGATGAAGAAGAAGATGAAGAAGTTGGCTTTCATTATGAAGATTCGGATACAGGTGTAGAGGATGAATCAAATTTAGCAGCAACTAATGCATTGAATGTTGCTGATTCACGAGCTTATGATGTTGGTGACATTGTGCTTGATGTCAACGGTTCATGTGTGAAGTTCAAGGTGTGTCCCAAGCCCAAACTGCCTTTGATCTTTTCTTAGATCTCAGCTATTCATATTTTGTGTGTCCTTGCTGTTTCCGTTGATGTCAGTAAAGGCCTCAATCTGTTGAAGATTTTTTAGCATTGAGGGCATCATGGTCTTAGAAACTGGTTGTACTGATCGGTACAGATTTGTATTGTCTTGTTTGGCCACAAAACACTATATGAACAATTGGTTTTCACTTAGTTTTTGCTTGGTTATAGTTACCTTAAAGTACAGTGATCACCTGGTCCCTAATACTTTCTTTTATGTTTTTGACAAATTTTGACAATTGTCTGATCATTTTTTTTCCTTTTTGTTCTTTCTCTCTTACATTCTATTGCTCCTTAGCTCTATTAATTATTTTATCGTTTTGCAACTTCTGACAATTGTCTTTTTGATATTCTTTTTGTTCTTTTTCTCATCTCATGCTCTCTTTTCCTCTGTCCCACTGTGTCATTGCTGCTGCCTCCGCCTCCCCTCCTCTTTCTCTGTCTCTGTCACCTTACCTCTTCTACCTCCTCCCTCTCCTCGAGTTCTTTGTTTTCTCCCTCTTCACCCTCTTTTTCTTTTTAGTTGGACAATATCAATTGGTACCTAGTGTTGCATTGGTCCATGCATGATCTGTACCTATCAGGCCATCAACCGGTATTGGCATTGGACAAGATTTTAAACCTCGGAGGGCATTGATAACTTTGTTGGGTCCCTTTATAATAAAAACATAGATCCTTTTGTTTTAAATTTGAATCCAACTCAGTGTTAGACACACAAGTTATGGCCTTAGAACTCCAAACAATTATTATAGTATATTGTAATTGCAACTTTTTTACATGAGCTTGCTTTTGTCCCTTGGTAAACATTCTTCATTTCATCAATCTTGCGGAGTAGTTGAATTGGGAGCCTGCCGCAACAAGTAGCACCTGAGACATTTTGGAGGAGATATGCATGTGACTTTACACCCCTAAGATGTGAGCTAGATTATGTTCTTTGTAACAAAATTAGCTGGCGGTATGATGCAATATTAAGTTGCTCTTACATTGTCATTATACAAGTGACCTGATTTGATATCTTCTGTTTTGTAACTTTTAGGACATTGAGAAAGTCTTTGGCCCACTAGAAAGGAGGATCATTTCTAAACTAGAAAGTCAGCTACAACGCTTTGTTGAAGTCGTCGGAAACGAGCTTGCTGGCCGTATGGTGTACTCCCTCGGGTAGCTTCAATTGCATGTGGAACTACTTTGCCAGATACATCCATTGTGAAAGTAGTGTGTGAGGAAACTTGGACCACCTTAATTCTTTTGATTTCACATTGGGAACCACTGTAAATATTGTCAGACTCCTGTAACACTGGAACGGTAAGTGTTTCTGCAAATTTGGTGGATGATGCACTCAAACTGTGCTTCTTCATCGAACAGATAAGATAGATGCATCAGTTGGTCGCCATGAGCCTTAACCTGTGGCACCTTGCAGACGCTGGAATACTGCTATACAACACGATTGTCTGAAATGAACAGAGTGATTTGAGTACTGTCTTTTGGGATTTCAAGGTATCATTCTGAAACCAGTCTGATTGCGTCGAAGCGTGTAGAACAATCCTACGGGATTTCAAGGTATCATCGTGAAACCAGTCTGATTGCATCGAAGCGTGTATTTTGTTTGACGCCATTAAATCAATGCTAAGCATGTGCTATCCGCATTGTGGGATCTCTCAAGGTACATATCTTTGCTACTACAGCTGGTTCTTGTTCTTATATTCATGCAGGGTAGCTTGGTGCCCATTTACCAAACCAACTGATATGATCCCTTGATCCCTGATCTTGCGTCAGATTTTATCTTCATAGGTTATCGAGCATTAGGAAAGTTACTTGTGAACATTTGTAGCTCTAATTTAGACAGCCAGAGATTGGTTCATTAGTGATACTGAATTTATTATTTATCAGCAGTAAAAGGTTTTTAACGGACAGTTTATACAATTAGACGAAACCCACATAGGAGGATCGAATCATACGTACATCAGAGCCTAACATTTACGAGACGCAATTGGTTAATCTTCTCTCGTACACCAACTATAAAATTCTTATACTTATTTTTTAAAATAAAAAAATGATATTACAACGAATGATATAATGCTCACATGTGGATTCAAACTTGAGACCCGCTACCACATCTCGATGGAACATTGTTTTGCTCTGTTTAATCTTCTAGCTGTTGTGGGTTCCCTGGCTGGGGTCTTCAAGCACGTATATCATCTAGCCTGCACATAGAACATTGTTTTGCTCTGGGTTAATCCTCTAACTGCATTTACGTGCAAAAATTCCTTACGAAATGCATGAGCACCTTCTGTAACTGCAAGATGAGATGCACAACTTTAAGAACACTGGGGAATCATAAGAAATTATAGCGAACAAATATATATATATATATATATATATATATATATATATATATATATATATATATATATGTATGATAATAATCATATGTGTAGAAAGCAAAATCTCAATAACCGGCCTGTGAAGGATGCAGGTGGCAATCATAAAAAAAAACAAAACAAAACAAAAAAAGGATTGATAAGGTTAAGCTACATATATACCCTCCTCCGGTCAACTCTTCCAGTTGGAGGCTCGGTTGAGGCAGAAAGTCTCCGGTCACAATGAAAACTTCTTGCAATTGTAAGCACCGTTGCAAATAGTAGACTCAAAGAGGTCCATCTTTTACCAACCTAAGCCTCCGCATCATCTCAAAATTAATATTAAATTAGCCAAATTTATTCTTTATCAACTGTTTAAAGAAAACTTGCCAGCTTGATCCACAGGCAGTGAGCCAAATATCTAAAGACAAAATTAGCAAAAATATATACTTAAACTTTCATATTAATACGGGGAAAAACTAATGAGCGTCTGAACTAACCTCATTTGGCTTTTGTTGTTGGGAGGCTTCTTCTCGAGCAAGCTACAGGGAAAAAAAAAACCCTCAGCCTGTAGTGTACCTAATGACATGTTAGCAATCACCGACAATATTCAAGGCTTCACAATGTTTATGTTTTGTCGTGTTGGTGAGTAAAATAAAAAGGAGTATAACCATTCTAACATTCACATAATATGACAATCCAACAGCTCCACTGTAGCAAAATTTCCAAAACTTCAACAAATACCTCCATTGTCTACCTAGATGGCTCAGACAATACCCTGATAAAAAAGTTATATATACAGCCTGCGATTATGCCCTGAGTAAACAATTCTAAATGAACTTACACAAACCAACAAGGGTTCATCCATTCACTATTTATATGACTCTTGAAGTTAATATTGAGTGGGCATAGATTGGGTTAAATTTTACCTGTAAAGCACTAGGAACAGCAACAAGACGATCTACTTATCAAGGGCAAGCTCGAGGTTTTCTGACTCGTCGAAAAGAAGTTTCTTGGGAACCTTGAGTTTGATCTGTTGTTCATCCCATCCAGCTCCTTTTAATTGCCTGAGGAAGTCATCGAATCCGTTTTCCAGTTTCAGGAGGCTTTCTTCAAGCAAAGATAAGACATGATTTGATGTTCTTTCTTGACACTCGTGGAGCCAATGTGCCTGCCATAAGCTTCTCAAGACTGTCAGGCCAGTAGCTCCAACCTACAGCATGATACACTCCAATCGAGTTAAAAAAAAGGTGATTATGTTCATCATTGAACAATCATCTACAATAAATTAGAAGAATTACTGTCGTTAACCAACCTTGAAAGTAACTAAAATTGTAGAGCCTCCTTGTTGCTGCTTCATATAGAGAATGTAACTTTCCTTTGAGTATAACTTAAGAAGTGTCTTCACCTGTTTCAAACAGTACAAGTAACCTTATAAGTAGACAACTAAAAGATCCAAACAAATAATTATTTATCAAACTAATCTTGCAACATAGTCTCTTCATCTTGTAGCTTTCTCCATGCAACTGCCTTGGCATATACAATTTAGCAAAAACTAACTGATATATTCAGTAAGAACACCAAGACCAATGAGATCATGCTTCATAAAATCTGTCTCTCTGGTTGTCTGCTAAATGTACTTGGAGCATTTCACAAAATTTTCACTCAGGCACTACGACTGATTTTATATTAGAATGATGGCCAAAATATTATTGTCTATGTTAGCTGAACAAATCTTGAAATTACAGACTAAGAAAGTGGAGATTAAGATAAGACATGTAAAGTATTATTTATAATGCTGGCAAACATATAAATACCACACAGCATCTCAGTGCTCTATGATAGCGACCAAAAGACAATAGCCAAATTTGAGCTATATACCATATCGTTGGAGCCATTTTTTCCCATCATATTTTGCATAGACACACCAAAAATAATTTTAGGCTGCAAGAATCTTTCCCAAGATAGAAAATTCTCTTCCTTGTTGCAAGTGACATACCCTATCAGACAAGATTAGCACAAATTCTTTCAGAGGCTACACAAGTGGATGTAAACTTATAATGGTGATCTGTACCTGGAACTGTATTATGTAAAACATGTGATCTCACAAGCAACCGAGCACGTTTCATGTTTATCTGCCGAGAAAAGTGAAACAAGGATCGTCAAATGATAAATCTAGATGAAATAAGGAAAATATCAGATTTCATGTTTTGGCAAAGTCAATGCGGAAGAATGACTATATTATCCAAGAAAAATAACTCATTGCACGATGTAATCATGAAGTAGAATGATACAAAACTGTAACAATAAATTCATACATACATATGCATGTATATATGTATATCCATGTTTATATGTATATATGTATATGCATGTTTATATGTATATATGTATATACCGATCCGATAGGGGATTGATATGGGCGGTACATCAGTACACCCCTATGTACCATGTGTTAGTACGCTCAGTATAGCTCGGTATATACCATACCAAAAACTGATCGGTATACCGATATAGACTAGTAAGACGAACCACACACACACACACACACACACACACACACACATATATATATATATATAATATAATGTATATTGAAGCAACATTTAAATCATTTAATATGGCAGCTTAACATATTACAAAAAAAACACCAGTAGGAATTATAAAGAATTCTCTATTTTCAAGTAACGGGGACCACATGAATAATCGCATTACCTATTTTCTTATACTTCAAAAAATTTGATATTATACAATTGTCAAATAATCTTACAGTCTGAAACTTGAGAACTGATAGTGACTGGAAACGTAGCCAAAGGTGCAGAAGACGCATGCTCAGCCACGTGAAAACCAGCAAGGAATATGATGCCTGTATCCCAGGTAGATCCTGGATCATGTTATGTCAAACATATAATAAACAATTAAGTTCAAAATAAAATAAAATTCTAAGAATGATGGCAGTTAACCTAAAAATCAAGTGGTCACCAGGATCAGTATGCCAATTCCAAGTCCTAGAAGCTGAGCTGCTACTTCCCAAACTTCCTCCTGGAGTAAAGGAGCAAAGAAACATTATTTCACTACATGATATTCTGTTGTACAAGAAAACAACTTTCTTAATTATGTTAAAATGCTATTTCTAGTTTTGCAAATCTAAATTTTTTTTCCCTTGCTGTCACTAATCTCCATCTTTAAATCACTGATCGTCTAACCATAAAACCTTCTCATATTTAAGCAATCTTGCAATGCAAATTACAGAATCTAAACTTGCCAGCAAACCATCTTAGTCATGAATCACACCTGAAATTTAATTGTTAATCCCTATTTTCATCATTCTGAAACAGGAAGGTGGTTGTGTTAATATAATTCTCTGAACTATAATTTTCCTCCAAAATATAATTTTGGAGGTAAAACTACTGAGAATTAAGCAAAACCCGAAAACCTAAAAAAAAAATGTAAAGCCTCACACAAAACAGGTAAGCATATCCTACCACTTGTCCTCTTATATTGAGAACTTTATGAAGTAAAACGAGTGTACATAGTTCATCCAAATTTCATTAAAACAAGTGAGGCAGCTTTATGCTCAGGGTCCACTCTGCCTCTAAAGTATCACGATATTTGTAAAAGACAATCCAAATTAGTAGGGTAATAATTACCCAGTGTAAAACATAAAAAGTGCTAAACATTTTTGTTCCTTGTATATTATCATTGAGTACCTTAGCTGCAACCTCCCCAAGATTAGCAGAGACAGCAAAATGATTTTGAATCACACGAAATGATGGATCTTTCAGTCCTCTTGCTATAGCCTGGTTAAGATAACCAAATCAGTTCCTTCGAAGAGCATACAGAAGCCATTTGAAATTGTAATACATTAATGCATTTTGAGATACAAACTGTGCTCTGACCTAAGAATAAGATACTTAAGAAACTTTTTAAAAAGTTAATTAACAATAACTTTATTAGCCTAGCACAAAAATATAAATAATAACAATCCTAGGTGTGACCATATTTTCTCTGACTGACCCACTTTGAATTGAAAAATCTAGGCCACCATATAAACCCATTAGCCTGGTATTCATATACGGGCAAAATCCACTACCCGGTTCTAAATCCAGGTCATATCAAGGTTTAGACACTTGGAGAAACTGGATCCAATTTTCTTATAGTTATTTTATACCATGATTTTATGAATATCTAGACACATTTGAATGTTTTATGTTTGTTAAAAACTTGAGTCAAACTGGGTGGGGCATGAGTTGATAAAACAGAATCAAGATTGTTTTGTATGTAAATCATCTTTACATATTATATCTGGTAAAGATCTAGACCAATCAAGTTGGGTTTGATTGTCTGAAAGAAATAGGGTCCAATTTCAGACCAGTCATGATGTGAAAACTGAGCCCAGCTCACATCTGGATCTGGCAATACTAAGATGTCTCTTGACATTGACTTGATTTGTACAGATGCGGACCTTGCAATCTTACCCATTCTCATATGTGTATGTATCAAATGCAGCCTTCTGAAGTTATATCTATGTATACCAGGACTAGCCGAAGAGAAACAGAACTCTACAGTTAAATATATACTAGAATATTAAAATTTACGATCATAAAAGTCCAAGTAGTTGTTTACAAAAAGATAAAAATCTCATTTCTGTAATACCTTAGCAAAATTGCCAAAAGCTGCAAGGGGGAGGAAATATTCTGGATATAGTTGTGTGCCAAGCTCGAAGATGCTGCATGGTCAATTAATCAGTGTTCATTTTTAACCAGAGTATATAACTATTTTTGCACAAATTGCTGCAAGAACCTTCCAGCACTTCCAATGAAATCTGCATACATCCTCCATCGCTTTGGATCATCATCAAAAATATTCCCCAAACGTCCACCTAAGAAGGAGCAATATCAGTTGAGAATAAACAAATGTGTTTACAAATAATCTTCTAGTTTTCTTTTGTACCAATAAATAAGCGACCAATAGCTCCTAGACCATCTTTTGACACCCATCTGAGATAAATCAAAGTCAACTTGTTAAAGTAGAATGAATTTGAGAAGAGTTATATCTATTGAAATTATCAACTCACAGCAGTAGTAAAGGTCTCCATTCACCACAAGACAATAAATCCACTATGAGAAACTTGCTCAACCAACTCAAAGATATTCAAAAGACCAAACATATTCATTAATGATCTCAACAAGATAGTAGTTCAAAAAAATATGGTGCACCTGGTTAAACAGGCCATTGTAATCATAAACAAAAGTGATACATGATGATGCAAACAGAAGTGATATCTCAAAGAATGCACTGATTCTGAGTTAGGTAAAACTGCAGGTATTTCACAACCAAATAAGGCAGAACTTGCTGGTACAAAACAGAGGTAGTTCCATAATATTTGCTACGAAGTTGTGCACACATCACACACAACATCAAGCAAAAGCTAACATTTTGGACCATAGCCAGTGAATTTCCTGCAAGTAAGCTCTTTCTATCTGAATGAAATGCTACAACCATGAATTATCATCACCATAATGTTATCGCTAACACCAACGGTAAGAGGGTTAGGAGATGGAGGAAACTAAGAAGAGTAGAAAATGAAAAGTCAGAGCTGCTTTCTCACGAAAGAAAAAAGTCATGTCTAATTTCCTATTGGTATCATATATATATTTATATGGAACAAACCCAACCAATACTAAAAGATTATAAGTTGGGAATATTGCAAATGGTACAAATTAGGATATGTTTCGCCATCTTCCTCCGGCTCCATGCTACCCTTCTACCTCTTCAATGATAAATTTGATTCCCATGAACTCTCAGATTCTTTCAACAAGTTCAAGTCAGGTCAAGAAGCCCAAAAAAAGGCATGTCAATCTCCACCATTTATCACATGTAACTGATTCCCCCTAGAAGTTAATCAATAATCTTTTCAAAATGTTTGGCAGCTAAGAAACAACATATAAAAAACTACAATGTGATTAAACAAGCTGACTGAAGAATAGGCAAATAGAGACAAAACTAGGGATTACCTTATAGCAGCAGCAGAAGCAGCAGAACTACTTCCTGAAAAAGAGCCCAAACCAACAGCCTGAAAGAATTTATAAAAATGTAACTAGCTCACTGAGTGACACTAAAAATCAAGAACTGGTAGGCTAATTTGTCTTTGCTACATGATGTGCACCATGTCAGCAAACAAATGGCATGGACCTCTTTATTGTGTGCACCTATAAATGAGCTTATCAACATTGCCTGGCACTCAACAAGCCAACATGGCACACGACATTGGATAATACAAAACAAAGTGTGCCAGTCCAAGATGGACGTGAAGATGGCACATTATTTTTTTCCTTTGGAACAGTACCTTTGTCAAACAATAAATGTAAATTATATAAAAAAATGATTATAGATAGTTTACGAACTAATTCTTTCAATTGTATGATTATAAACTAAGAAAAGATAAACAAAATAGACATACAGTGTATTTCCATTACAAATGATAATGAAAACATGACTTGTAGACATTTCCCCTGTTAAATAATTAGACTGCACACTGGTTGATCAAACTTAGATATTCAATCATAAGATTATACATCTTGTTTATGCATTAAAACATCATTTTGCTTTTGAAGAATTATTGAACTTACATTGTAATATATATTGACAACGGGCATTCTTTTCCTAGTCTTTAACTACTGATTTTCCTAAAATGTTGTTCCACGGAAAACTTTTTTATGATAATTTGTTACCTAAACAGCAATGAAAAGAAATAACTTCCAATTGGTCAACATGATGCTAGGACAAAATATTATTGGAATTTTATGTACATTCTAACAAATATTCAGAGACTCTGTGAAAACATAAACAAAAAAACTTTGAAAACTACTTTTTTGCCTTTTATGTCTTTCAACAAATAAACATATAATGAGACTTGCAAGTAATGAAAATAAAAAACCTTCAACAGACTTGAAGTAACCAATGTGTGACAGATCCATCCTGTTACATTAGTTGGAAACTGCAATAGCATGTAATCCAGATAGTCATCCGAAACTGATCCTGTAAAACATCCAAAAAATGCATTAGAATAAATACCTAATAATTAATATATCTAGAGGGAAATGAACCCTCAAAATAAAATAACAAGAATGTGAAGTGTGACGGATTTACACAGTAGATTAATTACTATTAGATAGCATTGGTCACATGAAAAAAATTGTTAAAAGCAATTACAATGAGCTTAGCACCACTGTGTGCTATAGTTCATAATCCCATCACTCCATCAAGTTGTTAAAAATTTGTTGCCTCCTTCAAATAGATAGAACCATATAGAATGGTAACATTTTCAGTTCTACCAGGAGAACCGTGCTGCTCTCTCTCTCTCTCTCTCTCTCTCTCTCTCTCCACACACACACACACACACACACACACACACACACAAATATACATATATATGTATATATATATATGCATATGTATATATGTATATATATATATATACATATATATACACATGTATATACATATATATATATATATATATATACATATATATATATATATACATATATATATACATATATATACATACACACACACATATACACCATTTCCCATGATGATGCATATTAATCCATTAATACTGCTGCCTTTAACAGACAAGGAATGCACCATGTTATTCTGCCACATGACTTTGAATGACCCGGTAGAGTATGGGTGTACAGAAAAAAAAAGTATAGTTCACTAGTTTGGTACATTTAAGGTTTGGAATTAATTGTTGTTCTTCTAAATCCATAAAAATGTTCTCATGCTTAACAATGACATAGAAATTGGAACTCCATCGGAATTTGGAGGATCAAGACAATGGTAAAACAACTAGCATCATTACATCTTATAGATTAAGCAATGTTTAAAAAAATTAAGTTGTTTGCAATTAAGTAACCATGGGGCCTTGAAAAAGATTTGAAGATAACATGACTAATGAGTAAACTAGCTAAAGAACCTCTACCTACCTGGAAACCCTGCTGGAAGTACAAATTCCTTTAAAATGCTTGGTATCAAAGAAAATTGTGAGAGGCTTTCTTCATCTTGCACTCCATTAGTCAAAGCTCCAAATTCGTCCCGAAAGGTTAGTAGTTGGGAGTTATCATCCCAGATATATCTGTCAAGTTCAGAATTCAAACAAAGTATATAAAGCCAATATTTAAGCATATAGATTGCCGGAACTTAATGTCTGTCTGCATGAGACACTAATTCTGGTGAGATGTGTTGATGCTACATAAACCTATATTTACCCCGAATAGCCAATCAGAATTTCTAGTCAAACTTTGTCTTTGCAGATATAAATCACAATAATGAACCAGCCAAAGAAAAAAAGAGAAGGGAATGCACATACACGGCCACTAGATCTCATTCATTCATAACATGCATAGAAGCAATATATCTGGCCTTAACAAATAAAAGAAGAGGTTAATGCTCCCAAGGGAGGCTGTGACAATGGGGATCACATGTAGTGATCGATGGCAGTCGGGAGCCATAGCAAAAAAGAAAAGAGATTTACAAGCCAAACGAAAAGATGGAAAAAGAAAAGAAGAAAGTCGGCTTAAACAGTCTGCATAAACCCTCAATGACATTAGAAGGATCGGGTAAGGAAAGGATCGACGGATGAGGCTTCTAATAGTAGGGGGGCCTATCAATCTGCTTGACGAAATTAGAGGCCCATTTGGCAGTAAAGAATCTGGTCTGTAGCATTAATTTTCTTTTGAGAGAAGAAACAGTCAACATAAAAGAGTGCATGAGTCTGTCGAGGCAATCTGAAAACAAGGAGGCCGCAGATTAGGTTTCTCAGGTAACACAAGGCCGTCGGGTTTCCACACGCACGCATTTGCGCAAACCGACGATAAGCAGCTTATAGAGAGTGCGTACCTCTTAGCAGTGCCATCTTGGTATCGCTCCACAAGCAGCGACTGGGGCTTCCTGTAACCATGGCAATAGAGAAAAGATAAAAGATCAAGAATCTTTTACGAGGACAGGCCAATATGAAGGCGGCAGAATTACCGGACGAAGGCATGATCGGAGGAATCGTCTTCGAACACTTCCTTGTCGTCCTCCACTGGTCTGCCTTCTCCGGCATCTGCCCGTCGAGAAACACCGGCGACGGAGAGCAGACGACGGCACCGAAGAACACAGCGGTGTGGAGGAAGAGGATACCTCGCCCATGAGATGAGCACGGAAGAAGCGGTGGAGGAGAAAGAGGCAGAGGAGCTCGAGAGAGAGGCTCGGAAGGAGGGGTAGGACGAGCAGAGGTGCATATCGCCTATATGTGGCAATGCCTCTATAAACGGTGATATATTCGAACGGCTTAGCTTTTGTTTTGTTTACAAAGCGATAACGGATCGGATTTTCTTCATATACTCGAAATTGTAAGATCCATTTTGTGTATTCTTTAGTCAATTTAGACCAAAAAATAAGCACCAAATCGGATTCGGATTTTGATCCTAAACACTCTAATCATGACTAAATCCGATAAGACAAGAGAATTTTTATTTGAATTACTAGGGATGGGCAAATTAACTGATATCCTTTCCCATGTGGCAATTGCTGATTGAACTGAAGTTTGGGACCCACAAAATATCTTTGGGCAAACCAATGCTTTATATATTATATTGGATATTTTACTTGGAAAAAATCTCATTATTGGTTTTTTTAACCATATGATGTCACATATTCATTTTTTAATGTATAATAAAATTATAATTATAATTTAATATTTTTTTTATAGATTCTTGATTGAGTATAAGTTATTTTAATTTTAAATATAACTGGGTCAATCTTCTATCAATCGAAATTTTCATAGAGTAACTATGATATAATTATTGGATGATTAATATTTTTTAATAATGTATAATAAATCATTATAGAATTTTTGATTGAGTATAATTTGATTAACTTTTACTAAGCTAACCTAAGCATTAACATTACTACTACTACTACATGGTTCTAAGATTATTAATATTTTTAAATAATTATAAAAAAGTATTTAATTTTTGAATATGTTAAATGATCATGTATAACTTAATTAAAATTTTGAGTGTAACTTGCTTGACTTCCATTAAACCAAGTTAAACTTCTATCAAATTATTCTAAGATAGTTAATATTAATATTAATATTTTATGATAATAATTTATCAAAAATATAATTTTTAAAATAGATTTTAGGACAAGTATAACCTAATTTAATTTAGTGTTTAACTTCATCAAGTTTCACTAAACCAACCCAAACTTTTTCTAAACTGTCAAAGCATGATTTTATGATAATTAATGTTTTATTTTTTTTTAAATATAATAATTAATTATTAAAGAAAAATTAAAAGAAAATTATTAAAATGCTTTTATATATTTTGTAAATATATAAAAGCCGTAATTAATAGGATTTTTTGTAAACGCTTTGAAATTTTCATGACGGTGGCCGTCACGGGAAACCAGCCGGGCTGTTTTGCTGATGCCACGGCCTTCTTTACGGTAACGGAAACGGGTTGTGCTGCCCTTGCTCATGGAAAGAATAAAACTAAGTTACCCTCGAATCGTGGCACCCGTGTGAACACCTGCTTTGTTATTGGATATAGCGATGGGTCCACAAAGGGCTCCAGATTCTCCTCCAGTGGCGTCAAAGATTCAAATGCCAACATTGGATTCTATAAAAAATCAGAAAAAAAAGAAGAAAATAAATGGGGGCCACTTTGTAGTGTTCAAGGTATAAAGAAATGCAGGGGATTAATATCCCGTTCGTGTCCAATTCCCTTATCGCCTCCTTCCCACTACGCCTTTCCGCCGAAGAGGGCGAGAACGAGGCCGACCACAATGAGGAGGAAGGAGGCGGTGGTGGTGTGGCGTCCCATCCCGGGCCTCGGAGATGCGCCGAGGAGGTTCCCCCCTCCTCGTGCAGTATTCGCGTCCGTCTCCAACGGCGGCGACGGTGGCGTCGCCTCGGGTGTGAGGGATAGGGAGAAGGACAAGGAGGACGGGAGGGAGAGGGAGGCGTTCCCGTCCCCGGAGCAACTTCTGCGGCATCCTCTGGCGCTGCTGGCGCTGGTTCCCGATGGGGCGGCTCTCTTCACGGCCGGGGCCATTGCCGGTGCCGCTGCCAAGACCCTCACCGCGCCTCTCGACCGTGCCAAGCTCCTCATGCAGGCATGCCCTGTACCTCCCTTTTTATCGTCTTCATTAACTCTGTTTCCTGTACAGGACGAAAAAAAATTTCAGTTCACTAACTTGGTTCTTAAACTCGTTTCTTGCTTGCCCCCCTCACGAACCACCCAATTTTGCAAGTATGATTGGGTAATGCTAAATTTCTAACTAGTCGAACCGGATAAGAGTGCTACAGTCTGCTATTTCTGTTTCTGCTTTAATTATATTGAAATCGTGGAGTCTTGGTTAAGAGGAAATGCCTCTAACTCCGATGATTTTATTGTTTCTTTTGTTCTATTGGGTCATAATCAGCTTCTAAGTAAACCTTGCCAATTTGCTTGCAGACTCATGGGTTGCGGGCTGTTGAGCGGACTGGAAAGAAGGCGATTGGTTTCATTGATGTAAAGGCTTCTGTCCTAGCTTCTTCAAATTTTGCAATAACGTCCTGCTTCTGTTTTGTTTTCATGTCTTTTTTTTTTTCTGAATAGTCATGTATTCTTTCATGTTTAATTGTCTTCATGAATGCAAATTAGGACGGTGTTCTATTAGGTCCAATTTGCTTGCAGAAGATATTTCTCATAGAGAGTCAAGTATTAATAAGATTGTTGTCTTCAGAAATTAAATCTGACCAAAATCTTCGGAAACTATCAATGTGCCGTTCTAACTATTGAAGGGAGAGTTATGAAAATCATGATGATGACAATCCAGAATTGTAGGAATTTATGAAGCGAAAGAGATGAGAGTCTGAAGCTTGAATGAAATTGCTGTTCAGATTAATCCAGTTGAAAGGCTGGGGTTGATGTTATAGTTTGGTTTCTGAAATTGTTTCTAGGATTGTGGAAGATGTAAGAGTTTCAAGTCCATGGATAATTCCATCAAGGTTACAATTTTTTTTGTTATTTTCCATCTCAGGACAGTTGTGGGTATTTGGGCTTCAGTATGTAGGATCAAGATTTTAGTGCTAGTTATTGGAGAAACTGGAATAAAGAATGAATTTATGATCTTGGGATCGAGGTTTATACTGATGAAGGATTGTCCTGCGAAAGAGGAACTTGCAAATGCTAGAGATTACTTCATTACTAATTTTGGACTACTTAATTACTATTTGTTGGATGAATATGGTCATATTAGAAAAATATCATAAAAGTTCCCTAGCCTTCTCTGAATGGTTTCACTGACATTATTTTTTGATCAAAACTTATAAATGGTCAGTTGGGATTGATCCACACATGATATTGTACCTAAAAGGGCATATCTGACCTTGATTTAGTGTCTATCCACCATTAGAATCCTGATATGTTGAACTTTGAGTTTCTCTTATATCCAATCTGGCCTCAATATTGTTGGCAGTTGAAATGCTAGAGAGGCAGAGGCAGAAAGAGGGAAAGAAGAAAAGAAGATGCACCGGGCAGTAGTTTCAGCAACGGCTATGAAGCAAAGGGTAAGAGGATTGGGGAAGAGGGGAATAGGAGATGATCCACTGTTGGTGTTAGTCAACGACAGAGAGATAAAGGAAGAGTACAGATCTTAAATGGATAGTACTCCGGTTAATACAAATCAAGTTTGTTTCTCCTATTTAGACCAGGAGTTGCTGTAAATCTCTTATATCTGGTTCAGGCTTATCCATGCTAGCCCGACCTAGTTTAGGTATTATGTAACCTCATCTTGACTTAGATTGTTTAAGCTACTTTTATTTTGTCTAGAACCATTCAATCTATCCCCATCCAGGCTAGGATTGACCAAATGACATCAAGAACCTGTTTATCTAGCATACCATATGGGTTGATAACTTGATATAATGGTGGCTTGCAAGTCCATACGAATGTCTTTGATATGGATATATCATAACAGAACCAGGGAAGACCATTAATTGGAAGTGTTACAACTTACATGCCAATCATGCCATATCCAGTTATGGATTGTACAATTTAATTGGGTTGAGAACTGATAGTTGTTCAGAAATTTTATCAACATCAGGCCTAATTAGATTGGTGATGAACCAGAACAAAGGTTCATCTTATTCATTGATGGGCCTTGATCATAAATAGTTCATGCTGCTTTATGTTTATTGTTTGTAATTTGGATACCTTTCTTTAGTCACATGTCATCTTTAGCATACTTCTAATGACCTGTCTGGCATGCATGTATATATATATATATATATATATATACACACACACGTGTGTGTTTGTGTGTGTGTGTGTGTATGTGCATGTGTGTATATATATATACGTATGATACTGGTTCCAATGGTTAAGTTTTTGCAATGAACAAAGAAAAATAGTAAGATATAGTCAAGTTTCTTTAGCAGGAGGATCTTGGATGTAGTGGACATGCAAAAGTTTAATTTGAAACGTCCATAAGGAGCTATCTATTGTTGTATGAATGTAGAGAGACATTAACCTAGAGTAAAGTATATCTGCATATATTCCCCGTAAAGAATGCAAAACATAATATAATAGGATATCAATGTTGTTTTAGACTGTTTTGTAATTAGCAGATCAAAATCAAGTGACAAGTCATTGATTTTCATTGTCTAGGCTTACTGTCTAATTGGCAGGTAATGCGACGTAGAAACAATTCAGATTAGGAGTTCAGAGGAGTGAAAGACAGTGAGACTTGGTCAGAAGTAATACAAAGTGAATATAATGGCCATTAGTTTGTCTAGTGTAGGTACTGATAAAGCTGAACACTGGAAGAGGATTCATGTAGCTGACCTGAGGAGTTGGGATGCCAAGTTCTTTTTATTATTTCTGTTTGAGGCAATCTACTTTCATTTCTTCATTTGACTTTTGTTTTATTGGTTTAGGAAGATGTTCCTGCCATGTATGATGTAGTTTATTATTGTTTTCTAGTTCATTTTTTTCTTGTTCGATCCGTCGTACCCTAAAAACATATTTGTATGCAGTGGTCTCAGGAGCATAGAATTACATGTTTATGCTAATGCTTGATCTTATCATTCATTGCTTTCAGGCTATAACATTGATAGGGAAGGAAGATGGGATTAAAGGCTACTGGAAAGGGAATTTACCCCAGGTGCCTTGCATTTGCTACCTGTCATGCTGCAGATCAAAAGTTTGTCCATTGAGTTTTCCAGTTTCTAAATGAGTCTTAAATGATTACAGGTGATACGAATAATTCCATATAGCGCAGTTCAACTCT